GGGACAAGGCAGGGAACAAAAGGCCAGGAAGCAGCACTGCCTGGCCTCAGAACCCCTAAAGCCACAAAGCAGTGGCTGGTGGGCATTTGTAGGTCACCTGGAGAAACTTCAAAGGCCTGTTTGAATAACCTTATCTTTGCTGTGGAGCTTAGGGGGAGGTCTGGCATCTCAAGAGACTGCACTGAAAACTGTCCTGCTGCATTACTTTGTATCTTAAATTGCTGGATAAGTTCCTCTCTGTTGTAATCCTGAGTGGGACTCACCCCTGTCCAGTGAGCTCACAGAGCAAGGTGATCAGGTTATTTGAACTAACACTTCTCTTGACTTGTATTAACTGTAGTTTTTAAAATTGCCTCATTACACTTTTCTGATCCTGAAAGCATCAGGAATCCATAAATGGGAGTTTTTGTAATAAGGCACCATGAGTAAAACCACCCAGCATTTGAGTTCTCTCTAGTGCTCCTGTTGCTGAAGAAGCTTCAGGATATTCTCTACTTTCCCAAGGAGCAGAGTGTGCTGTGCTGTCCCTGAGGTGTCTGTCCTTTCCCATGTGCCAGCAGTGCTGGTGCAGGTCACCTGTGGTTCAGGGGAGTGACTGTGGGTGGAACCCTGAGGGCTGGCTGGCACAGACTCCTCTAGGGCCCTGTGGGGCCACAGTGCACCTAGGAATGGTTTGTGTGTGTTTCTTCTTGCCCTGGTGCCATTAGAAAGGACACCCTGGGTGGGAACTCGAATGGAGCTCAGCAGTTTGGGGCATGGAATGTCAGCACGTGTGTCAGCAGTGTGTGTGGCTGCCCTGACGAGCTCTGTCCCCCAGGAACGTGTGGAGGCTGTGAACATGGCTGAGGGCATCATCCACGACACCGAGTCCAAGATGGAAGAGTTCAAGGATCAGCTGCCAGCAGATGAGGTAGGTGGTTCCTGATCCTGGAAAATTCCTCACTAAACCATTGCTCCCATTCCCACCTAACTGCCAGCTGGCTCTGGCTGTGTTTCCATGCAGGGTGGAGGTGGCACAGCCCTGCACTGTGGGAGGGGAGGATGGACAGGCATCCTCAGGGGTTCAGGGCTTGGGCTGGGCTGGTAAATAACTTACTGCAAAGTGCAGGGTTGGTGTCTCTGAGTCTGTGAGTGCCTGGGAAGCTGCTCAGAGGTTCCTGTGTCCTTGGTGTGGCCTTGCAGGGCTGTGATAAGGACAGGGCTCTGCTGGGGCTGGCTCCTCACAGGGGGGCTTTGCTCCAAGGCTGGAGATTGTGGGCAGTGCCTGCCCTTGTTAGCAGAGACAGAGGCAGAGCTCTGTGCTCTGCTGGCAGTGCATGCACAGCACCCAAGAACCTGGGGGCAATAAAAATCAGCGCCCACTTAACTCCAATTTTTCTCTCTTAGAAGTGAAATAGATATTAAATATCCTAGAGTGCTTTTCACACCACTCTAAGGCAGTGCACTGTGAATTTCAAAAGCCAAGTTTAGAAGAGTGTGCTCAATTACCAACTGAACAACTCTGGGAAGAAGCAGAATGAAAGGACTCCAAGGTGTCTGAGGGACAGTTCCCTGCAGGGACTGCTCCCTGTGAGTCCCTGGGGAAGGAGGGGCAGCCTGTGCTGGCTGGGTGCTGATGGTGGCTGTCACTCCCTGTCCCTGTGCCCATGTCTGTGAGCCCTCTCCAGCAGCCCAGCAAGGGAAGGAGGCAGTGCCAGGGGCACTGCAGGGGCTGGCAGATGGCTCCAGGCTGGGCTGAGCCAGCTCTGCTGGTCTGCTCTGAGCTCCTGCTGCATGGGCAGCACAGGGACTGGCCAGGGCACAGCAGCCCTGCTCACCTCCAGATCCATGGGAGCCAGCTTGCTGTGCCCTGCCCTGGCATAGCTGTGCCAGCACAGAGCATGGCCCTGCAGGGCTCTGTCCCTGGCACCTCTGCCCACACAGCAAACAGAGCCCCATTAATGCCAACTGGGACACTGTCAGTGAAGTGGACAGGTGCCCACTGGGAGCTGGGCACAGTCCTAGGCCCTGCAGACTCACTTTGAGGCTTCACTTCATGGCTTCTGGCACATAAAGGGAGTTTTGCTGTGGCCAGCAGGTGGTGAAATGACAGGATGGAGATTAACCATGAACCAAGTGCAGCATTTCACCTTTTGTGTCTTTTTTTACAGTGCAACAAATTAAAGGAAGAAATTGCTAAAATGAGAGAACTTCTGGCTCGTAAAGACAGTGAAACAGGAGAGAACATCAGGCAGGCAGCAACCAGCCTGCAGCAGGCTTCCCTGAAACTCTTTGAGATGGCATACAAGAAGGTAGGTGCATGGCCAGGTCACTTTGAGATCCTCAGGTGGGGAGGGGGGAGTCAGGACCCTGAACTGCAGGTGAGAGCTGGGCTGGGACACAGTCAGGACACTGAACTCTTGGGTGGGAGGTGCTGCTGAGCCTCTGTGCAGCTCCCTCTGAGTGACACTGGCTGAAGGGGCAGATGTGGAAGGTCAGGGGGAGTTGAAGGCCTGAAATCCTGGCCGTGCTTCCAGGCTGGGTGTTCTGTTATTGTACAGCATTCCATGGAAAAGGGGGAGCTCTTAGTAAGGAGCATCCAGAAGAGCAAGGAGAGGGCTTTTCCCTCAGTGCTTGGAGTGCCTGAAGGGGTGAATACTTAATAATACTTAATTAGTAAAGGTGAATACCCTTACTTCAGGGTGCTTGTAAAACACAATTCCTGTTCAGTGTGCCTAAAGCCACAGTAAAGGCCATTGTGCTTCTCTTCTCCACCTCCTTCCCAGTGGAAGGCCCTGGCAGCTGGCCAGGCTGTGCTTGCCTGTGCAGGGAGCTGTCCCAGCACAGCAGTGGCACAGTGCCCAGGTGACCTTGGTGCTGAGCTGTCCTTCCTGGGGCCAGCTGCTTTCCTGATGTCAAACCAAAGCCTCGGTGCTGCAGTGTCAGCCTGTTACATCCCCTGGGAAAAGGAGTCATGGGAGGATTGTTTGCTCCCTCTCAGAGCTCAGGCAGAAATGATTTCCCTTCTCAGTGAACATTCTTCCTTGCACTGGAGGAGGATTCTCCAGGCCAAAGCTGACCTGAGCCAGGGAAAAATGGCCAGGAGAAGCAGTTTGTTGTTCCCACAAGTAATAAATCCGTTTGTTCACAGATGGCCTCGGAGCGAGAGGGTTCTGGAAGTCCAGGAGATCAGAAGGAAGAGAAGCAATAAGGAGTCTCTGTCTTGCCTTGACAAGAGAATGATGATGAGGTCGATTTTCTTGATGCTTGGGAGAAAAGGGACCTTCCTGAGCAGCAAGGGGCAGAATTCAGACTTACTGTGTTTTTGCAGTATTCTATATATAAAATTCTTCAATGTATAAACTTAGTGATGTGTCTGCTAGATAAATTGGCACTTGATGAAAGTTAATTCATGCCAGGCAAAGTTACGAGTTTGGCCCTGGCGTGTTCCCCTGAGCACCTGGGGACTGGCTGATCATTTAATACTTGACACAATGGTGTAGTAAATCCGAGATCCAAGCTTGGAAACCATGTCACGAAATTGGAGGGTGGAGATGGAAGCTGTGTGGGAATGGGGAGGAGAGTAAGGCCTGCATGGCCCCTCCCTGAGGAGCTGGGAGCAGCAGGGGCAAGGCTGGGGGCGTTTCTAGAGACCATCTAACCCTGAGCTAGGCTGGTACTCTTGTTTTGAAGGAAAGAGGCTACTTCAAACTCAGCTGTAACGTTATTTCTTACAAAAAAGGCAGTCTGGAAGTTCAGTACTTTGCTTGTCTGAGCCTTCTGCTCCATCCTGTGTCCGTTCTCTGCTTATGGTAAAACAATTTCCTTGATAATAAAACTGTTACTGCATCCATTCTGGATTTTTTTAAAATAAAAGCAGAAAAGTGTCCAACATGCAGTTCCTGGTCTCCTGGCCTTTGATGGAGAACACGAGCACTTCACTGCCTGTGACAGCTGCAGAGGGAACAGCCAGGTAGCTGTAACGTTGTGTGACTTGTGCTTTATTCACAGGCAAAAAGGAGGTTTCTGGGCTCTTCTGCGAGTGTCAGTGCTGCTCTCACCGGGTGCCCCAAGTCCTGTGACTGCAGTAGCGGTGGGGCTTCACCCTCAGGCGCTTTGTGCTTGGGCTTAGCCTTTAAACAGGCTGCAGGCTTGAGCAGCCCAGAAATGTAGCTGTGCCTCCTTTTCCCCGTCTCTTACTCTGTGTCTTTTAACTGGGATGAAAACTGGCTTTGCAGCTGCTTTGTTCTGCCAGCTCAAGTACTGGGGGAAAGGATGGATTTTGTTCTGGCACTCAAGACAGTTTCTACCGGGGTAGGGGGGGAACAGAGGTGGCGGAGACCGTAATCAGGAATAGTCAGTGTTGGTTTATTAAACGAAAGCCGTGTCTGACCCATGTGCGACTTCTCCGGTGCCATAAAACCGCCAGGAGCGGCCGATTGCCCGGAGGGCGGCGTGCCCAGCCCTGAGCGGGCTGTGCAGTGTCCGTGCCCAGGCACAGCTTGGTGCCCTCGGTCCCGCTCCATCCCCTCAGTCCCGCCCGGTGCCCTCGGTCCCGCTCCATCCCCTCCCGCCCCGGCCCCGCCGCCCCCCACGGGCCCTTGAAGCGCGCGCGGGCCGTTCCGCGCAGCTCTCGCGAGATCCGCGCGCGCTCCCGCCCCGCCCCGCCCCGCCGCCCTCTGGACTACTCGCCCCACAATGCCCCTCGCACGCGCGCGGGGAGGGGCGGCGGCCAATGGCGCGGCGCCCCGCTGCCGGCTCCCCCCGGAAGTGACGTCAAGGGCCCCCCATGTGAGGCTATTGCAACACATGGTGCGCGGCGCGGGGGAGCGCGAGCACCGCGTGCGACGTCAGCGCCGCGCGCCGGGGGGAGCGGGCACCGAGCGGCGGGGCCCGACCGGCACCGGCACCGCCCGGGACACACCCGGCCCCAGCGCCCCGCCCCGCGCCGCCCGCCCGCCCCGCGCCGCGCCCGCCGCAGCGCCTGCCGCCGCGGGAGGAGGAGGAGGAGGAGGAGGAGGAGGAGGAGGGAGAAGATGGCGGACGATCCCAGCGCTGCCGACCGCAACGTGGAGATCTGGAAGATCAAGAAGCTCATCAAGAGCCTGGAGGCGGCCCGCGGGTGAGCGCCGGGCCCGCGGGGCCGCCGCCCCGGAGCGCCGGGTGTCCCGGCTGGAGCGGGGCCGCGGCCGGGGCGCCGACCGGGCCCGCCCGGCGCGGGGGGACGGCGGGCGCAGCCCCGGCCCGGCCCCGGGGCCCTTTTGTGCGGCCGCGTGGGGCCGGGGCAGGGCGGGCAGGGCCGTGCGGGGCGCGGGGAGGAAGCGTGACCGCGCTTCCCGCACGGGAAAGGGAAAAGGGCCGCGGCTGCCCGGGCTCCGCCGGCCCCGGCGCGGCCCCGCAGCCGCTCCCGCAGCCGGCCCCGGGCGGGGCGGCTCCCCCCGGGCCCGGCGGGGGTGGCACAGGTGCTTGTCCCCGGTGCCCGCTCCGCTGCCGGCCCGTCCGGCCGGCCCGTGCCAGCTGGCACCGGCGGAAGGCGGATTCCAGCCGGAGGAGACGCTCCTCTGTCCCCCGTGCTGCCTTGGGCTTCTCCCACGGGACCGGCTGGGCCGGGGAGGGCGGCGGGGCAAGGGCAGGGAGGCAGGGGCTGAGGCAGCATTTATTCCGTGCTTTCCTTACTGACAGTTATTTGATCTTTCTCACCGCTTCCCCTCCCAGCGAAGGTGCTCAGCTCCATTTCCCTGAAAGCAAGCTCTTCCAAAGTTTGGACAGTGGGGAGTTTAAAGTCTCTGATGCCGCTTTAATCCTTGCACTTAAATTTTTTTTTTTTGCCCCCCCAGAATGTGTGTTCCTGCAGCCTGCCCCATGCCAGGGATGCCTGTTTGAGAGGGCAGCTTGGCACTGGCCGGTTCCATCAGTTGGGCTCGAGGGACTGTGAGACCTCAAGGTTCTGGGGCTGTGAAATAGCAGAGAAAGTGTGTCTCGGCCGACAGCCTGATAAAATAAAAATGAAGGGTCACTCCTTAGCCACCCTTGCGGCTCCAGTTTCCACGGGCTCACCTGAGCAGGTGTTGCTGGAGCTGGGGCAGCACTGGCATCGTTCTGTGCCCCCCCAGAAGCCTGGGAGCAGCTGGCAGAGGCCGAGCAGCTCTCCTGCCATGTCCTTTAGTGCTGGTGCTTGTTCTGTGTGTAGGGTCAGCCTGGGGAGTCGTTCAGCTGAAAAGTAACCCAGGCAGGAGGGGAACCCGAGCCACAGGTCTCCCTAAATGTATTTTACTTTGATTTTTGATGCATCTGTGCAGGGATGGCGGGTGGGAGATGGGAGTGGGGACCCTGGGCCGCCCTTCCTGTGGCACAGTGGACTTTGGCTGCCCCAGCTGATCACGGGGCTGTGCCTGTGCGTGGTGTGGGCAGCACAGGTTGTGCTCACAAAGGGTCCCAGGAAGCTGAAAGGGCTTGGGAAGCTGCAGGCATCCACTGGAACTTGTGACATAGCTCTGTGCAAGAGCACTGAGGGAGCCTGGGTGGGTTTTGGAAGTGTGGAGTTGGAGTTTTGTCTCTCCCTGGTTCCAGCTGTGCCTAGTTCAGTGTCAGCTCTAGCACGGTTTGGGATAGAGGAGTGTTGCAGAGAAGGTTCCAGCAGGTGTTGGAGCTCTCCTGGCAGGCTGCAGGGCAGGTGTCTCTTGTGGGTATCAGCAAGTCTTCTCTGAGCAAGGGGATGCTGGTTCAGGGTCTTCCAGGGATTCTCAGCCAAAATAATCCCGGTTTGGGTCCAGTAGGGAGAAGAGGTGCAGCAGCCTCAGCCCCCAGCAGGCTCAGGCTCCCCAGCACAGGAGGTGTGAGGCAGTGGAACTGGCTTTTCCTGCCTTGGGAAGAGTCACTTCCTCTTCCTGGGGAGTAGGAAGACCTGTTCTGGGATGGGTTGGGGGATAAAGCCTCCCAGCAGGGTGGTGTGGAGGGCCAGGGCCTCGCTGGTGTCCCCACCTTCCCTTACTCATGTGCTCCATTAGTGACCCAGCAGCAGTGTCCCAGTTTCGTGTGCTGTTCCTGCAGGGGATCAAAGGGACGGGAAATGGAGGAAGCTGGAGTCAGACATTCCCTTGGCATGTGGTGGCTGGGGCACCTCTGCTCTGATCCAGCTCTTGTGCTAAAATCTCAGTGGAGTCTGCAGGGTGTTAGCAAAAGTCAAGTGAGCAGGAGAGCGAGGAAGTGCTTTTATGGGACTGATGATGAAAGGGGCAGTGCTTGGGCAGAGCATCCAGGGGAAAGATTAAAACCTCAGCTTTCCCAGAAGCTCATCAGCTGGAGGCCAGCAGGGCTAGGTCTGCCTCTCAAACCTGGAGGTAACTCCTAGCAGGAATGCCCTGTGTTATTTTCCCAGCCCTGCTAAGGAAAGCTGACTTTCTGACTGATCTCTATAGAAAGAATCTGTCAATTCAGAACAATGAAAAGTAATTTTTAACTCCCCAAGCTCACCTCAAAGCCCCGTCTCTGCTGACAGAAGGAGCTGTTATCTGTGCCTGGCTTCCTAAACCAGAAGTTATCTCCTTGCAGCTCTCCAAAGTTGAGTGGCAGACCGTGTGATCCTGTACAGGGTGGCTGAGTTGGTGTTTCAGAGGGGGGTAGCTGGGCTCTGCATAGGCTGTGAGGAGGAGCACAGGGGCCAGCTCAGCCCTGCTGGCAATTAACCTTTGTGGCCAGAAGAAGATGGGAGTAAAAGGCTGCTGATGAGCCAGTCGTGGCCTTGTCAGAAGTTTAACCTTCATCTCTGAGAGCTTGGAGCGCTCAGACTTTCATCAGACATCTCTGCTTCTCCCCACTGAGGGATTCATTCTGCTTTCAGTCCACAGTTCAGTTTTGTAGAACAGATTTGGGGGAGCACTGGACCCCCCAGAAGCTGCAGCTGTGTCTCTCTCTGTGGAGCTGCAGCAGCCCAAGTAGAAGCAGCATTAGCCACTCTGTTTTCCTTTATCCTCTCTCTCGGGGCTTTTCTGCTGTTGCTTCATGCACTTTTCCAGTGTCAGTGCTAAACTGACAATCCCTCTTTGTTCCTTTGCTCTGTGCAGTTCTGAATAGTTAGCTGGGCTATGGGCAGGGTTTTCTGCTAATCTAAGCTGTAAAATGCTTGGCAAAATCAAGTATCAGCAACAACAAGCAGTCTCTTTGCTGGGAGAGGACCTGAGATGTCACGTTGGAATCATGTTTGGAAACTTCTCCACATCTTAGAAATGCTGTCTCTGCTTGGAAATGGTTCTGACACCTCCCTGGCCTGATGGGCTTCCAGACCCAGGGTGAGAGTGCAGCTGCTGCAGGGTGTGGAGCTCCCTTAAAGTGGGGAGAACCTTCAGGAACCTTCTCTCTGGAGACATCTCCCCGGTCCTGAGCTTGCTCCGTTGGGAACAGGAGCTCTTGTTGGTTATTTTACTGAAACAGGAACAGAGGAGGTGAGGATGGAGGTGTCTCTGCAGGCACTGACTGCAAACACAACTGAGGCTGGTGTGTGGAAGAACATTTTTGCAGATTATGAGCTCTGGAAGGTGGGTCAAACAGGGCACATGCAGAAATGAAGTCTGAACAAGTACCTTATTCTGGTTGTAACTGGAAGAAATGTTTCAAAGCTGGAAGAGGGAGAAATGGCAAGAGAAGGAGATGTCTTGGTGTCTCCAGAGCCTTGGGAGGAAAGCAAAGTGTTGCAGTTCCTGCCTGGGTTTGGATTCTGCCGTGCTGAGACTTCTATCTGGGAGAAACAAAAAGTGAAATCAAGTCACCACGAAGGACAGAGGCCTGAAAATCCATGAGGATTCCTGCAAAGAGAGACATAGTTCTGCTTGAATTCCTGGAAAATGAAACGTAGTTCTGCTTGAAGGTGGACAGGCTCACCTGTTGCTTAGACAGAAAAGATTTGCCCAGCATCATTTGCAGATGGGTTCTCTTGCAGTCTGTCTGGAGTCTTGCTGGTCCTGATGGATAAGCCCAGCCTTGGAATTAGCCACAAGCTGTTTCCCAGCCTTGTGGAACAGGAGCAGGAGGCTGTGCCTCTCCACACCTTGTTCTGAGATGTGCTGGGATGGTGCTGCTCTGGGACAGCCTGGTGCTTCTGGGACTGAGGGAGTCTTGACTGTTCCAGTGTGAGGATGGTGGGCCTTTGCAGAAGTGGCCTGAGAGCCCACGTGGCTGTGAGCTAACAGCACTGTGGGGCACTCAGGGGATGGCTGGGTCAGTGGCAGGGATGTCCTGTACAGCTTTGCCTTGTTCCCAGTTTCTTTTGAACAAAGTCCTGGGGAACTGTGGTGCCTGGGCTCTCTCCTGCTGTGTTTCCTCCTGAATTAGGCAGAGCTCCTGCAGCACTCTGCTGTGGGTGGATTGTTCTGCTGGTGGTGCTGGGGCTGGACGTGTGCTGGGGTAGCTGTGGGACACTATCACAGCTCAGTTAAGTCCAGTGTGGATTCTGCTGCTCCATCCAGGACACGGCCCAGCAGATTTGGGTGTGCTCGTGCTCCAGTGTGACACCACCACCATGGCCAGGCAGGTACCAGAGCAGCTCTCTTGGCTCAGGGGGGTCACACCCCAGGAGGAGCATTTGGTGACATGTGTCTGCCTGCACTGCCAGGGATGTGGCAGTCCTGAGGCTCCCTTCCCTCCCCTCCCTCTCCTGCAGCTCTCCTGCCCTGCCTCCTTCATCAGGATCTGGATCAGGATCTGTTGTGGCTGTGCCTCGGATCTGAGCTCTGGGTCAGTTGAGCTGTTGATACAGGAGCTGTTGCTGCAGCTTTCACCTTGGCACGGGGGTAGGATGGAGGCCTTGCCCCAGGCCTGGGTGAGCTGCTCCATCTGGGAAGGGCAGAGCCATGCCAGGGTGGTCCTTGGCTTTCCAGCTGTGGTATTTAGGTTGCTGTTGTGCTGTGCCAGTGATGGGACAGTGATCCCTGAGGATCTCCTGTGAGCTGGTGTCTGCAGAGCCTCTCCTGCACAACAGTCCTGCTCCAGCTGGAATTGAGCTGGGCTGTCACACTGGCACATGGGTGGGACAAGGGCTGGAGGAGGAGGGTCTGCAGGAATTGAGCTTTACTGAGTTTCCTGCTTTGTCTTGGTGATGTGCCATCAGTGTGGAGTGCTCAGGGAAGAGGTTGTGGTTTAAGTTCTTACCCAAGGCAGATTGCTTCCTCCAGGTGCTTTCTCATCCTGCCTGTGGCAGGGGGAGTTCCTAAAGGAGGTCACTTTGAGGGGCAAAGGCCATAATGTTAATATTGCCTTTGCTTCTGGTGGTGTGAGGAGAGGAAGGAGGTGTTTGCAGAGAGGCTGGAATAGAAACAGTCCAGGGCAGAAGGGAGAGCTGAGGGCACTGGCAGGAAACCACGTGGGATGTACAGCAGCTGCTTCCACACCATTTCCCTGCTCTGTTGGACCTCTGCAGGCTGCCAGTGTCCACAGCGCTGGGCTAGAGGCTGAATGTGGATTTCTCGTAGGCAGGGCTGGTCAGACCTCTCAGCACTAAGCAGTGTGTGTCGTGTCTCAGTGGTGGTCTGAGGAAGCTGTGCCAGGTGGGAAGACAGCTGGAGCCAGGGACAATGTCCAAAGGGTTGTTGACATCCTGCTGCTTGCCTCAGCCTAATGGTTGTAAAACATTGCCTGGGCTCTCACCTGCCTGCTGTACCTGTTCCTTTTGAATTACAGCAACAATTAGGAAGTGCTGTTTGGAGAGTGCTCACTAGCAAGTGGCTGAGGAGGACCTGAGCTGGAAAAGTGGCTCCAGATCAGAACTCCAGCGAGTGTCTGACAGCCTGTGGCTGTTGAGCAGCCTGGTACCTCTTTCACAACTGTGTGAATCATTAGTGAGCAGTGTGATTCATGCACAGATCATCATTCACATCGAGCTAATGAATGAGCCCCTGAGGAATGACGTGGTGGGAGATGGGAACGAGCACCTCAAAAGAGGACAGACTTTTTTGGCTCTGTGGCAACTGGATTTCTTTCCCTCCCTGTTAGCCACCTATTCCCATGTAGCTCTGGGGCATTAGCATCTTAATAAGCAAATCTGGATTTGTTTCAGTCCCCCAGTGTACATCTTGTACCCAAATGGCCCATTAGCATAATGCAACAAGTCTTTCAAACTTGGAGCATTAATAATTGGAGAAGGAGGAGGGAGAGCAGGGGAGCTGTGGCAAAACTGAGCCTCCCAGTGAGTCACAAATGTCTGAAGTGCAGAAATGTCTGTTCCACTTCCCAGTAATTGGGCATCCGGGCTTTCTGCATGAGGTCAGATGCAGCCAATAAGGCCTATTCAAAACATGCCTGTGCAATTATGTTTTGTGGTGTTGCCTTTGATCCAAGGATTTTGGAGAAGCATTGATTCACCTCCCTGGGGTGTGCAGGATGCACTTGTGCTTGGGATCTGCTCCTGGAGCTGCACTCTGATTTGGGATGGGGGTGCTGGTGGTGGCCTGAGCAGCACTATCGGAGCTGAGCCCAGTTTGGGGCTGGAGCTGCTGAGTGTCCCTCTGGGCAGGTGGTGTGTGGTGGCTCAGGGGCCAAGGGCTCACTGTCACCTGCTACCTGTGCACCCTCACACACAGGAGAGCTGCCCAAACCGTGCTGGTGGAGGAGCAGAAGGCCGTGACCTGATTCTTGTGTCACCTCTGTGTGTCCCGGAGTGAGGGAGGCTGAGCCCAGGAGCAGCTCCTGGCAGGTGGCCGGGGCTGCTCAGGGGGAGCCGTGCCTCTCCTGAGCCTTCTCAGCCTGCAGCCAGCCCTGCCTCTGCTCCTTTGCTCAGCAGCCATTTGCTGCCTCCCTGTGGGAAGCTTTCCTGGCTGCTGGAGCCAGGGGTGCACTGAGGAAATGAGGCTCACTCGTGTTTTGCAGGGTGGGTCCTGGCTGGGTGCTTCTCTCCCTGGCTGCCACTCAGAGCTTGGTTGGCACCTGGAGGCTTTTCCTCATGGAGAAGTCAGTGGGTGAGGGTAGGAGGGCAGGATACTCTTCCAGGATGGGCTGAGTGTCTGCTTCAAGATGGACAAGATTCCTGGTGTGGGCTTTGGAGCAGGACTCCAGCAGGAGAGCCTGGCATTGTGAGAGCCGTGGAATAGCTGCACGGTCTCATGCTGTGCAGTTAAGTGGTTTTCCTTTGTCCAGGGGAGAGGTGGCATTCAGAGACTGATGGAGGAATTTCGTGTCTGGGATGTTTCTTCAATTCGGAAGAAGGAGGGCCTCGATTTCTCCAGTTAATGCTTATGCTGAAAAGGATTCCTGAAGAATGAATTACTTGGTCTCCTGACTCTGCAAATCCTCTCCTCACACCCACCCTGCCCCCATCTTGTCCTTTTTCTCTGCTTCAGAGGTGTCAGTGGCTCCAGAAAGGTGAACTCTGCTTTACTTTTGCTGGTCCCTTCCATACCTTCACACCCTTCTTTGGGTGACGTGGAAGCCTTTGAGGAATGACTTGATGTCACTGTTTGGGAGGTGACCCAGAGTTCTGCTGCCTGCTGGGGTGAACTGCAGGATGCCTCTGGGGGATTGTGAGGTTCCTGCTGTACAAAGTTGTGCCTGGCCTTTGGCTCAGCTCCACACTGAAGCTCAGAGGAGCTGTGTGTGCCATGGAGCCCCCAGTGCTGTGTGCTCTGCCTGGGTGTCAGTGCCGTGCTGCTGTCCTGCTCCAGCTCTGCTCAGAGCCACGGGCTGAGCAGGCTGGGGGACTTCACCTGCTTCTGCTGGAGCCATCACCAGCCCCTGGTGCCTCCAGCAGCTGTGAGGTTGGGATATGTTGGCTGGGTTTATTGCAGAGCATTCAGCTGATGTTCTCACAGGCTGTGCAGTCCTTGGTTTCCAGGTGATGTGGCCTCTGAAACACTGAGGGATCCTGGATTCTTGGCATTCCCTGCTCCTTCCTAGCAGGTTTTCCAGGAAAAGTTGTGCAGCTCTTGCATCTGCTGTTGTCTCTCCAGATTTGCATCTTAAGTGGACTTGAGCCACTTTCTGATGAAAGCTTTGTCTTATTAAAAGACACGAAGTCTTTAAAGGGCACAGCTGTGACCTCTTTGTTTCACAGCCATAATTCCTAAGTTGCAAGAGCATGTGCAGAACTTCCCTCTGGCAAGGTCAGTGCTCTGGCACCCAGGGCAGGATGAGAGGGGAGTGTCTGATGGCCTGGGTGTTGTGAGGGAGCCCAAACCTGCAATTCTGTACTTGTCTGTACCAAAGGACACTTCCTTTTTATAGCTCTCCATTCGACATCTGCTCAGGTACAGCACCAAAACCCTCAAATATCTTTCCTCACATCACTGATTTTGTGGGCTGTGCCTGAGTTTGGTCCTTCACTGAAGTTCCAGGTGCCTGCAGCACTGTGGATGTTGGTTCAGAAGCAGCTCTGGCACCTCTGGGTGTGCCTGATGGAGTTCTGCCTTGGATTGAAGAGGTGTTGCTGGCGTCTGCCTGGCAGCTGGCTGTGCAGGGAGCTGCTTTAGCCAGCACATAATTTGGGTAGCCCTGGCTGTCCAGGCAGCTTGGGCTCCTTGGGGTGTGTTGTGCCTGCCCAGTGATGCCCAGTCCTGGTGGGGAGCAGCAGGAGTTACCTGGGGAAGGTGCCATGGCTTGGAGCAGTTGTTTGTGGAATGTGCTTGGGATCAGCTTATCTGGGAGCTGTTTTCTCTGTGCTTCTGCCAGTGTCTGGCAGTCACACACAGGCCTGGTGCTGCCCTTGGCTCCTGAGGAGAGCAGGATGCTCACGAAGCTGTGCCCTGTAAAAATAAACTTGTTTGGAGTCCTGGGGAATGACTGCCCTCCCTTGCCTCTGTATCCCACATTCCACAGTGTGCTGGCAGTGTGAAACGTTTCACTGTGCAGCAGCTACAGCTCAGCTGCTGTTTGTCAGGTCTCCTCTGATAGCACAGGGCAGCCAGTCACTGCTATTTATATAGCAGGCTGTGAAATTAATGCTCTCCCGTGCCAGCTCATAGCCCAAATTGCAGGAGACAGGTTGGCTGCTGCTCCTCAGAGTGCTGGGGGTTGTGTGCCAGGTGAGGGTGGCAGTGGCACAGGACAGTGTAAGGTGCTGGGAGCCTTTTGGAAAACCACCACATCACTGTCTGGTACCAGCTGGAGGTCTGAACGTCTGCTCAGCTGCTCCTTCTCATGGCAGGAGGGCAGGAACGTGGTGACAGAGCCCTGCAGGTGGAGGTGGCCACCCGGAGCAGGGGGCTCATGGGGGGAGCAGGCTGTCCCCCATGGCTGCAGTGCCTGCTCTGAGCTCTTGGTTCTGGTGCTGAGCACAGAGCACATCCCCACAGGGCACTGAGCTGGGTGTGGGCTGGGGACAGGGACCAGCTGGTGCCAGCATCCTCAGGGCCATCCCAGCAGTTCTGTGGCCTGCACACACAGCACAGGGAGGGTGATCCCTCCTTTGCTGCCAGGGAAGGAGCTGCTGGCAGGAGGAGTGGCACAGCTCTGCCCTGCAGCTCCCCGGGATGGGTTAGTGGTGACTGCACTGCCCTCGCTGCCAGCACCTGCTCTGAGGTCTCTCTGTGTCTGGAAAAGCTGTTTGGTGGCACAGTTGTCTGAAATTCCAACTGTAGTAACATTGGAGTTTTAATAATAGAAAGGCTGTCCTAGCCACAAACCTTGATTTTCTGAAGAACTTGCTGTCTCCAGAGAGCAAAATGTGCTTATTTTTGCTTCCCCTCTTCCCTCAAACAGTCCTCTAGCACACTGTGGGAGACAGCTGGAGCTCACCTACTATGGTGTGGGCAAGTTGGAGCTTTGATCCTCTTCTTCCTCCTCCTCCTCTCTCCTAGAGATCCCCAAAGCTGCTCATGGCAGGTGCTGATAAATCTGAGCTAATTTCCCATTCCTGGCAGGGCTGGCACCGTGAGCAGTACCCACAGTGCAGGCAGTGCCTCCCCAGAGCTGCCACTGAGCTGCCCCTTGGTTCTTTGTGGAGTGTGAGCTGTGCCCCTCGTGCTCCTGGGATGGCCCTGGCAGCTCTTTGGGCAGAGCAGGGCCAGCAGCTGGAGCTCTGCTCTGGTGGGAGCTGAGTGTGCTGAACCAGGGGAAACCTCAGCAGTGCTGTGAAATCAGGATATGGTGTGGGATCCATGGGGTCCCTGCTTCCTCCAGGAGTGCTGGGTGTGCTGCAGGGCAGACCCAGCTCCTGGCACAGTGTGACCCCTGGGTGCTGCAGGACAGACAGACCCAGCTCCTGGCACAGTGTGACCCCTGGGTGCTGCAGGACAGACAGACCCAGCTCCTGGCCCCGTGTGAGCCCTGTGAGCAGTGCAGGATCTCAGCACATCACTGGGTTGTGCCCCAGGGCAGGTGTGTGGTGCAGCTGTGTCCCCTTTGGGGAGCCCTTAGCATGGTTATGGGGAAATTCCTTACCTCAATCCCAGTTAAATGCACTCCAGAACCCTCAGCTCCAGAGGGGACAGGGTGGGATTTGCAGAAATCCCTTTTATCTTGTTGAGGCTGCAAAGACCCAGAGGAGACTTGGAAATTACTTACTCTGCAGAATAACCTATTTTTTCAGAGTGTTTTTGAACAGCAGCTTTCTTAGAAACTCTTTGCTGCATTTTGTCTCCTTGGGGTGAGTTCAGCAGAGGCACCACAGGGTTTTTAGACCCTGCCGTGCTGCATTAGGGTCACAGGCAGGTACAAGCTTGCTTTGAGAGAGGAAAGCTGCTCTTGCATGGTTGGATAACGAGGTGTTGGCAGTGTGTGAGGGAGCTCTGCAGCCACCCTGGGTGCTGGAGCTTCAGCTGGTGCCTTGCTGGTCTCAGTCTTTGGTTGTTTAGTGACCCTTTGGGGTGCTGGGTGCCTGGGGACATGGTGACAGGCTGGCTGGCTCCTTGTGCTCCAGGCAGCCTGGAAGGTTGCTGCTGTGGCAAGCTGCATGCCAGCTGTTTTGCTGGATTCTGCAGGAATTGGTTAGAGCCTGAAATAGCTGTGGCTGTGTAAATAGTGGTGAAGCATGCCAAACCCGAGGAGTGCACTTGATGTTGGTAGTGGAAGGTGCTTTTGGATACAAATCCAGACTGGAATTCACTGAAGGATTGGCCCAGGCACAGTAGTGTGCTGTGTTGAGCTAGATGGAGATTTAAATGAGGGGGAGTGCATCCTCTGAGCCCCTTTTCATGTGTCTGTTTGCAGTAATAAACCACCAGGATGTGTGCAGGCCACTGTGGTAGCCGGGTGGGTGTTGCTGAGGAGCAGTGCTGTGCCCCTGCCTGGTGGATGAGGTGCTGTGTGTGGGATAAACAGCCCCAGTAGGATCCAGTGGGTGCTCAGTGCTGGCACCAGTGGTTGTGGGACACTGGAACACAGCACAAGGCCAGGGGCTGGCACCTGAAGGGTGACTTGCATTTGAAAACTGAAGGGAGCTTTTTCAAATGACTGTTTAGTGAGGAATTGCTCCTGGGAGTGCTCACCCAGCCTTCCTCCTTGCTGGGCACAAAGCTGGGGAAGGGTCTGGAGGGTCAGTGCTGTGAGGAGCAGCTGGGAGGGCTCAACTTGGAGAAAAGGGAGGCTCAGGAGGGACCTTCCTGCTCTCTGTAAATTCCTGTAAGGAGATTGTAGGTGGGGGGATTGGGCTCTTGCAGGCAGTTTGTGCCAGTTCCTTCCTGTCCTCAATTCAGGAACAGTTGTCTGCAATCTCCTCCTAGCAGGAGAGCCGTGGAGTGCCCAAGGGGCAGAACAGTCACACTCCCACTCTCTGGGATGCCCTTAGGGGGGGTGCAGGAGGTTCGGTGTGATGGGCAGAGCTTTCTAATCCCTGGCAAATTCTTTCAGAGGAGGAGATAACTCAGGAGTGCTACTTAGAGAAAAGTGGGGAAGAGTTGCTTTCATTCTGATCAGCCTCCTGCTCAAAGGAGCCTGCTGGCAGTGCTGGCCATTATCTGTCCCTAAGGCTGGTGCCATTCTCTGGGGTGGGTGACACTTTAATTGAGTGGGATATGGAGCATTCTTGGCTGGGGTGACCTGGAAGCCTGAGAGCTGCCAGCGTGGCTCAGAGCTCCTCCTGGGAATGACACGGGCCAGAGTGGCTTTGTGACTTTGATTGCTGTGTATGGGGAGCTGGGATATTAAAACCAATTAGTTGTCTTTAAGGTCAGGGACTTATTTGACCTACCAGCCTCTGTTTCAACTTGGCCTGGATTGAAGATCTTTGGGAGAGGGCTGCACAACTTGTGTGAAGAGGCTAATGAAATGATGCTTTTGAAAGCACTTCCCTGCTGCCTCTGTAGCCCAAACACTTCACAGGACTGTGGTGTGTGACAGCCTGAAACAGCAGCGAGCAGGGGCTGGGCTGGGCTCCTCCTCCCATAAGAAATGTAAAAGAGCAAAAACCCTGGGGTTTGATGTCTGCAAAGCACTGTGTTGGCTCTCTGACTCAGAATCCTGAGAAGAGGCTTTTTCACAGAGCTTAGCTGCTTTGCCCTTGAGAGGGCTGGAGGATAGGATGAGGGATTTGATTTTTATGTCATTACTCTAATGGGAAGCATGAGGTCTGGGTTAAATCTGAGACAATGCAGAGGCAGCACTTCAGACATCTGGGATACTTCAATGGCAAATGGGAGGTACCTGCTGGAAGGCAGATGGGAACTTCCCCAATTTTCCTTTTGGCTTTGGGTGGATTTGAACCACGAGGCAGCTTTGGGGGGATTAAGATTTCTGCAGGACCCACCCCAAAGCCCTAGGAAAAACGAATATCAAACTAATTTTCCTTTAATTTAAGCCTGTTCTGTGATTTGTGGGGTCTTATCTGCTGACTGTGTGCCTGGTTGGTGCTGGTGAAGCAGCAGTGTGTGCTTAGCACAGTTTAGTTAAAGCAGCTGCCAGAGCTGATGAGCTGCTCTGAGGAGAAAAGTGATAATGGGAAAGCAGGAAAAACTCACCGTGACAAAGGGATCCTTCCAGTTCACTTTTCTGTATTAATCTGAGGAAAACAACGTGTTAAGGCAGCACTTGGGCTGCTGAGTGCTCCAGCTGTCTGAGAACAAATGGAATGGGCTCTAAGATGTCCTGGAAGTATGTGGCTGCATTGTTTGAAATAATCTCTGCTGGGAGCTGCTTCCATTCCTTCTGCTCACAGCCCTTGGTCTGTACATGTGTTCTTTCTTCCCAGAGTGCACAAGCAGCTTCTGCAGGACTTGGTAGGGGCTGAGCACTGAAGAAGAGCCTGCTTTGTTTTATTTTATTTCCTTTTCTCTCCCTGTTGTGCAGAAGGCAATGACACCAGTAGCAGTGAAGCAGCAGCCTTGGGGGAGGGAGGAGGGCACTGTGGGGTGTGGTGTGAGGGTGCTTGGTGCTCTGCTGCCTGCTCACATCCCTCTTTTCCCTCCCCAGCAATGGTACCAGCATGATCTCGTTGATCATTCCTCCCAAAGACCAGATCTCACGAGTGGCAAAAATGTTAGCAGACGAGTTTGGCACTGCCTCCAACATAAAGTCAAGAGTGAATCGCCTTTCAGTTCTGGGAGCCATTACATCTGTACAGCAAAGACTGAAACTCTATAACAAAGGTAACTTCTAGCTTGTATGGATGCTGGCACACTTCCCTTTCTTGGAAGCAGCCTTAAGTTCCTGCACTATGCAGTTTTCTGCTAATCAAATCTGTTGGCCTGTGCTGCTGTTTGGCACTGATATTCCAGGTATGTTGCCCTTGGATGGCTACTTCAGGGGTGGACTTTGGGACTGGAGTAGTAAAGTGGTCCTTGTCTTTGCAGAGTGGGGTCATGATTCCATTCCTAGTGCTGACTCTGCCAAACTTGGCCAGACTGAAGAGCTGGATATTCTGCAATAATTCATTTGTGTTAATCGTTTTCTGCCAGGCAGAAACTCCTGTGTGCCTCATGCATGGCACTGAGCCATGCCATCATTTTGGGGGGAGCAGAGCCAGGCCATGTCAGATGAGCCCTGGAAGAGTTCACTGTGACTGCACTGGCCTGTGGCCTTCCCTGGGATGGTCACTGCAAATCCCAGCAAAGCTTCAGGGGCTGCTCTGGGTGCTGGGACCTTGCAAACCCTGGGTTTAACTGGCAGGCTTCCCATTGTAGAGACCTGGGAGGGAATGAGGTGGGGAAAAGGGAAAGTGAAGAGTTAGAGAACTTGAATTTCAACTCTGCTCTGAGTCTCAAGGGCTGGCAGTCAGTTTTTGATGGGTACAGCTTGCCACATTCCTTGGTGATCTAAACCTGCATTGTGTCGTTTGTAGTACCTCCAAATGGTCTGGTTGTTTACTGTGGAACAATTGTGACAGAAGAAGGAAAAGAGAAGAAAGTCAACATTGACTTTGAACCTTTCAAACCAATCAATACATCGTTGTATTTGTGTGACAACAAATTCCACACGGAGGTAAGGACTCAAGGACTCTGCCATTGCAGGAGCTGAGCTCTGGGCACAGCCTGGCTGTGCCTGAGCCTGGAGAGCAGCAGGAACAGGCCCTGGGGTGGCCACTGGATGGCTTGGGACTGGCCAGGGATGGGGAATGCCCAGGGTCTGCCCAGCTCCTCCCAGCCCTGAGTCTGTGTAACCCACAGGCAGCAGCTCCTCTCTGTAACTGGAGCTTAACCAGTTTTTTAACCTGGTTTTTCTTAACCACAGAGCCCCATAGATATTATTCCCAGTCAGACTTTAAAATACTGCCAAGATAATATCAGTGTTGCCAGTCTTGCTATCAGATGTGTTAACTGAGAGCCTTGATGGAGAGCTGGCATGTGCCTAATCTGTCTGGGGGGAAGTGGGCTTATTTTTATCCAACATCTAATTAAGTTAAATGAATGGTTTGAAGCATACTGAAGGAAATGTGGATTACAGCAGTCAGGTATTGCCTCTGAGGCTGTGTTGGCTCTGGCAGGTGCAGAGGTCTCAATGTTTGCAGTGCCCCTCACGTCCTTGATGTTCCCCGTGATAAATGTGTGGCCTGAGACTTAATTGCCTGTTGTCAAATGAGTGTGACATGGGCTTGGCAGGCCCCCAGTGATGTGGTTCTGTTTGTCTGTGGAGATGTGATCCATAAGTGGCTTCCAGAGGGCAGGAATTCAGCAGGGAAAGGTGCAGAGGTGAGGCCCATCCCTACTATTCTGTCTCCCCACAAAGGATGAAATCCCACCATGCCTTTGACCTCCCAGGAATAAAAACCTGTGCACACACACAGGTCTGGAGTTCTGCTGGGTGCCTGTGCCCACAGATGAGTGAAAGCAAGAGGCAAAAAAGAGAATTCAGCAGCCAGCCAGCATGCCAAGCCCAGGGAGGTGTTTGTCCCTGCTGCTGTGGCACTGGCAGGGTGCTGGCTTTCCTCCTGCCCTGTCACCACATGGATTCATTTGGTGTCCCCTGCAGCTGCTGCCTCAGGGCACTGATTGAATGCAGAAGTGCCCAGCAGGCTGTTCCAGGAGCAGCTGCACATGCACTGGTGTGTGGCTGTGCTCACCACCAGTGGCAGGACCTGAGGGGGATCTGTGGGAATTGCTGCTCCTGAGGATGGGATCCCTGCCAGCCCCTCCCTCCATGCTCTGGGGTGTGGGCTGTGGGGTTATTGCCTGCACTGCTCTCAGCTGGGGCTGCACAGCTTTGAACCCCATAATTCCCCATTCCACAGCCAGGGCAGCTCCAGGGGCACCCCCAGATTTCCTGGGAAACTCGGGGTGTGAAGGAGCAGGAGGGGAGCTCATCTTCACCCCTGGGCTGCAGCTGCAGAGAGAAGGACCAGAACAAAGGCAATATTCCCTTCTTGGTGCTTGACAGGTCAAACAATTGCTGCCAGAGCTGATCAGGGGATCACTGATCATTGGGACTGTGTGAAAATAAGAGGAAATCAAGAACATCAGAGCTGCAGTCATGTGCTGCCTGGCAAGAGCATCTGATAAGATTTCCTCTAGGTATTTTCTTGCCTGTGTGAAGCTGAAGTGACTCCCCCAGGGGCTGTGAGCCCCAGTGTGTGTGAGGGGTAGGATTTACCATGCCTTACTTTGATACCTTGGCTGGAGCATTCATTCCAGTCCCATGTTTTGCTTGGCTCTGTCCCAGTTAAATAGATTGCAGTGTAATATGCCACTTCCTCCTCTCATTCATCCCACTGCTGAGGAATTAATACAGAATATTTACTTTGGCCAGAAGATTCCATTAAACCTTAGCCTCTGTTTCTTCTAAGCTTGAGAGCTGCAGGCTGGGCCGTGTGGATTTTGGAAGAGGATGACTGATGGGTTTTATCCTTTCAGTTCAGCCCAGTAATGAGGCTGACAGCCCTGCAGGCAGCTCCAGGTCCTGTGCATTAACCCAGCACCATCACTTTCAGTGTTAAACTGCTGACTTCAAGCAATCTGGAGTTTTGACAAGTTCCCCATCCTACTGATGTGGTTTTGCCAGCCAGAAAGAGGATTCTGGCTATTGCTTTTTTGGGCATGTGTAAGTGAGCAGGAGTGTGTGTGTGTGTGTGTGTGCTGGATGTCTCTGCCCACTCAGACAGCCCCTGAGGGAACAGCAGCTGAGAGATTGCCTTGAGAAAGGAGTGCAGGGTTTGGGTGCTTGGGCAAAATCAACTCAGAAGCCTTGATACTCCACTGTGCTTTGGTTGGGCAACTTAAATGACCTTTTGGGAAATATTCAGCTGCCTTTTTTAGAGGGAGGAAAATTGAAGGATAACTTCATTTTGCAGCAAGTGTTCTGGCTGCCTTCTTCACAGCCAGTTATGCACAGGACAATTATTGCTGCTCTTCCTTGTGCTCTGTGAGGCCGAATTTGACACAGCCACTGTAGATTTATTTCATCCTTCTGCCTGTGGCACTTGAAGCCAGCAGGTGCAGCAGACCAGTGCTGGTGTAGGGAGGCTGTGTCAGTGCTTGGGAGAACAAAACTGAAGTGACACTGAACTGAGCAAGTTCTGCTTTCCTGGCTGGAATGCCAGGAGAATTACTGCTCCACTTGTGCCAGCCAGAGAGGTGAGGCAGCCTCAGAGAGCTGGGATCCATTTCACTGCATCCTCTCCAGGGCTTTGCTGTCACACCTGCCTGTGACCTCAGTGGGGAACTGGCAAAGCTGGGACATTGTGTCAAAAGTAAACTGGAGTTTCCTTTGTGCTCTTGGCAGTGTTCTATGGGATGGGATTTTGGGCAGGAATTGTTCCCTGGCAGGGTGGGCAGGGCTGGCACAGGGTGCCCAGAGCAGCTGTGGCTGCCCCTGGATCCCTGGCAGTGCCCAAGGCCAGGCTGGACATTGGGGTTGGAGCAGCCTGGGACAGTGGGAGGTGTCCCTGCCATGGCAGGGTGGGATGGGATGAGCTTTAGGATCCCTCCCAACCCAAACCATGGTGGGATTCTGTAGTGCCCTGGAATGGTTCCAGCTCCTGAATGTGCTGCCTCTCCTGCCCTTTATGAGCACAGGAGTGGCCGTGGGCAGCAGTGGGGGCTGTGCTGTGTGCCCAGGTGGGGCAGGCCCTGCTCACAGCCCCTCTCTCTGTTTTAGGCTCTCACAGCGCTGCTCTCTGACGACAGCAAGTTTGGCTTCATTGTAATAGACGGGAGTGGGGCCCTCTTTGGAACTCTGCAAGGAAACACACGGGAAGTGCTGCACAAATTCACTGTGGATCTTCCAAAGAAGCACGGTAACAACTTCCCTGAGTGCAGCAGCCTGGCCTGGCATGGCAGGGTGGAAGTGGGGAGCTTGGCCTCTGGGGGTTTAGCTCTGCTCAAGTCTGTGCTCCCTTGGAATCTGACAGCAAAGCCTCCAGTCTGAGCCTTCTGTCACAATTAATGAATCACACTAATGTGCAGTTCAGCTTAGAAGTGGCACTTTTTATTTCTTGCTGCATTTGACCCTTTACTTGGTTTTGGGACAGTTAGAAGTTAGTGGCACAAGCAGTAATCCCACTCAGAGGGATGTAAGGTTTGATGTGCAGGTGTTTTGTGCACCCCAGAGGAGCAGTGAGCTGCTCTCTGCAGGAACACAGGGCCTCGTGGAGCAAGGGAAATTGGAGTTCCACTCTGTGGTGCTGTGTTGTAACCAGCCACTGATGAGTTCAGCAAATTGTCTGCTGGCTACTCCTGGCCTGCTGTCCTTTGTAGAGTGGGATGGGACAAAATGAAATCAAAGCAGTGTCCCCAGTGAGGCTGTGCAGCAGAGACTGCTGGGCTGGGTACAAAGGACATGCTTCTCCTGAAGGCACAAAAAGAGAGAAGTGCTCAAACGTTCCATTTCTACAGAGCAGTGAGACTTTTTATAGAAGGACAAAAATCTCCCGGTGGGAACGAGCCCTGTTTATTGTCTGAGTGTCCCATGGCAGCCCCTGCCTGCCTTTGTGACAAACTGAATCCAGGAGGCTGCAGCTGCCCGTGGCTGTTCCTGTGTGGTGCTTAGGGGTGGTGAAAAGAACACAGTAACATACTGCAGAAGACAAGGAAGAAATCCCTTTATTTCAGATCTGGTCCTACATTTTATAATAGACTTTGTAGGATGTAGCTGTAGGTTAGGGATTTAACCCTTTGGATGCAATGGAAATAAGTCACACAGCTACATGGTCCCTCTCAAGATAGGATAGAGACAAGTTTATTCTAAACCACACTGCTTAAGTAGAGCTTTTCACAACTCCAAGGACAGAATACATCGATTGGTCCAGAGAAAGTAACACCTTTTCCCAGGCCTAGACACGTATCTAACAGGTGTCTTATTTGTGTTATTAATTCTTCTCTTCTGTTTACATTAGAGGAAGGCAGCTAGCTTTAGGAAAGAACCCTGGCTAAGCTTGAGAAAGCTGGGCTGGAAAAACTCTCTCAAGAGGTTTTTCTGGGCCTATGGTCACAGTAGGACAGAGACAAAGCACTAGCTTCTTGGTCCAGAGAAAGTAACACCTCTTTCCCAGGCTTTGTCACATATCCAGCAGGTGTTTATCTTTGTTTTTAATTCTTTTATGTTTACATGAGAGAAAAGCAGCTAGCTTGGGAAAGAACCCTAGCAGAGCCTGAGAAAGCTGGACTGGAAGAACCCTCATAAGAGGTTTTACAGGCAGCCTTGGCTGTGGTTCTGGGGGGTCAGCTGGGTGCTGGCTGGGATGCAGTGTGTCCCCAAGGCTGCCCTCTGGCTCGGTTTGAAAAAACTGGTATTTTCTAAGGAAAGGTGAGAACCCCTTTCCTGAGATGCAGAGTGCAACCCCCTCCCTTCTAATTATTATAGTTTCAAATCAGAGGCTTTCAGGGAGAAGATATGGGGATAGGAATAACAGTTCTTTACTGATATCTAACTAGGCAAAATAGCAGAAACAACAACAGCTATAAAAATTGACAACAGAACAGAACAGTGTAGCTCAGTTTTAGTTGTTTTTGGCCAAAGCCCCCTCTCCCTCGCTCAGTTCCCGGTGCTGTGGGCAGGGCAGGGCCCGTGTAGCTGAAGGGGCTGGGTGATGGTGGCAGCGACCCAGGGGGGAGAGGGATGGAGGAGGGACTCCCCCCTCACGGTGTCGGTCGTGGTGCTCGGCAGAGTGTCCGGAGGTAGGAGGATGAGGGGGGAGAGGAGCAGAGCGGTGTTTGAGGGCAGGGAACGTGGATCTCGGGGCTGGGGTGGCAGGGGAGGTGCCGGATCAGAGCACGGGCTGTCCTCTCACTCCACGAGCGAAGCGAGACCCCCTTTCCCACCTTTCCTTTTCCCGTGTCCCCCTATCCCCCACCCCACTGCGAGATAAAACCAATCCTACTACCAAGGCGTAGCCCCAAATACTCAGCATAACAATGGGAACAACAGCAGAGAAAGCAAAGGGAAGGATTAACCCCCAGCACTGAGCGTGGTTTCCTCCCTCCCCGCAGGCAGGGGGGGTCAGTCTGCGCTGCGCTTCGCCCGCCTGCGCATGGAGAAAAGGCACAACTACGTGCGCAAGGTGGCCGAGACCGCCGTGCAGCTCTTCATCTCCGGGGACAAGGTCAACGTGGCCGGGCTCGTCCTGGCCGGCTCGGCCGACTTCAAAACCGAGCTCAGCCAGTCTGACATGTTTGATCAGGTGAGTGGAGTTGATGAGCTCAGCGCCTGCCCGAGGAGAGCTGGGATAAGGTGGAACTGTGAAGAGGTTTGATCAAAATTGAAGTTGTAATGTCTGCGAAGAAGTGTTCTGTAAGAGCCTGAAATGAGGGGTGTGGGCTCCAGGTGGCTCTGTAAAATGCTGTTCATTGTATCCAGATGTTAGAGGTGGGGGACAAGAGCCCAGCCCACAGCCTGTCAGCCACAGCTGGAGGTTCCTCTGAAGCTTCTCTAATTCTGGTTACAATGCATTATGTGCTTTGCATTGCAGAGCATCTTAAAACATGACAACCAATCAATACTTTTACTATAACCTATAGCCCATCCTAACTTCTAACATTACCATATTCATGTTACTATATTCCAATCACAAATAATTAGTATGTTACACTTGAAGCTAGAAATTGTTTTTCAGTTTTCCTGCAGTGAAAAGTTCTGAGATCTTTTCTCTACTTGCAACATTGGCTTTCTTGTTTGCCTGTGAAAATCTTTTTGCTTGGTAAAAACATCTTTTGTTTGAGGTGGATTTATTCTGTGCTCAAGTCACAGAAAGCCCCTTCCACCTCACTTGCTCTTTGCCTTCCAGTTTAGTTATCCAATAAGACTGGCTCAGCAATTCTTTTCTACATAAAAACTTGCTCTCATTTCTATTCCATCTCAGATTCTACATTCCAAGATGTTTCTGTTACACAAACATATCTCTGAGACCTTCCTGTCCAATCCTTCTCCTTCCCAACAGTCTCCCATTCCTAAAACCTCCTGCAAGGAGCTGAGAACTGTTCTTACAACAGGGCTAATAAGAAATCTGTCCTCCCTTGTTTGGAGCTGGTATTCACATTCTTTGTATTCCCAAATTTAAAGCAGAAGCCTTGCTGGAATTAAACTCCAGTAAAATGAATCTGTGTCCCTGTTGCCTGAAAGTTGTGGTTCAGTTGTGAGCATTCAGAGGTTGCTGTCCTCAGGGGAAGTGCAGTGACTCCCCTGGCAGGGTGGGGACTGTCCCAGCCCTGCTCTGCTGTGGATTTTGATGGTTTTGTGTCTCTTCCTTCTCTCCTTCAGCGGTTGCAATCCAAAGTGCTCAAACTAGTTGATATTTCATATGGAGGAGAAAATGGCTTCAATCAAGCAATTGAGTTGTCAACTGAGGTCCTCTCCAATGTGAAATTCATCCAAGAGAAGAAGCTAATAGGTGAGTGGTGCACAGCAGCCTCTCCTGAGCCAGGTGTGTGGCACTGAGTGAGCAGCTCCTGCTCTGCCCTGCTGGCAGTGCCCTTGTGCTGCCCCAGCCCTGCCACAGTGGCTCAGCAAAGCCAGACACTGACACTGCCAAACTGAGACACACTCAGACACATCCCAGGAACACTGAGACAC